AGAGAACGATAATAAACACACATAGAGGCCTAAAGAGCAACACAATAGGTCCTCCTTTCAAAAATGGAATACCATAGTAAAACAGACTAAAGCGGAGTAAATGACTTTAAAGCACATCGGACGCTATCGTGAGAAGGTTGGCTTTAGCGCTGACATTAGTGACAATGTTCTACTGAAAGGTCGGCTAGCTCTCCGTTTAGTTTCTAGGCAATTAAGAGGTCAGTTATGTTATCTACTGGTTAATTTATTCACAAACAACATAAAAACGGCTTTTACAACATTGAATGTACACGATATGCATTTCTGCATTTTATCTATATGAGGTTTTTTCTGACGGTACGCAACCCCCTGCTTCGTGCGTTACGACACAACACGACCTTAATAAAAGAGGCTGAAATGACTTTTCTTGTGGCGAAACAAGAATTGCATCAATATTTTTGGTCTCCTTATACATCTCTATAGTACTTAATAGCTACTAAAACTTTTGCTTTTCTTCTTTTGGACAACTATTTAACATTTATTGTTAGAGCGCATGTCCTCTTCACGGCCGCCTGCGAGCCGCTTCTGTTTTTTCTGCTACTGTAGGGCAGCCTGGCGTGCCATTAAGGGGGAAAGTCTTTCACCATCACAGCCTGATATTACTGTAGAGCTTCGTACTATTGAACCGGGTCTTGCTGGAAGACAAAAGAGGACAATTATAACCCTTACGTTATAGAGAGACAAATAAGCACTACGCAATCATTACAAATGCTTTATATACACGTTTTATTTTAACGTGCTTTAACGGAGCATTTATCGTGCTCCTGGTATTAATCCGTGCATCCTTACTTTAAAATGTGAGCAAGGAAAGAGCAACCCAGGCGTGTAGTTGGAGCCGTTTCCCTGGCTGCGTTCAAGAAACAGCTGGATGTGATTATTGGAGCATTTAGCTTTTCACTACGTAGCCTAGATGGGTCGAAGCCTTCCCTGTGTCGCCGTTCTTAACTCGACCAGCGTGCGGAATCTGCGCAAGGTTTTTGTCCGACGTCCACGGGCGGTGCTCGGAGTTGTACAGGACGGCGAACTTGCCACCTCCAAGCAGTCGAACCCGACACCGCAGTTTCAGAGCGCGGGGGGCCGGACGTCTGAGGCCTGTTGTCTCCCTTGTCTCCTGCAGCGCTGTCGGTCCAGCAGCTGGCCGCGCAGGGGGAGATCGTGCAGCTGACGGAGCACCTGAGTAAAGGTGAGCGCGCCTTCCGCCGGGACCGACGGCCTCGTTCCGTGAAGCACGGCTCATTGAGCGCGCTGCCAAATTTACAAAAAAAAAATAATAATGTTGCTCTGGGGGGTTTCTGGAAGGAACAGAGCGGTGCAACATTTCATAATTACACGGAATACCTTCGTGTCTTTTGCAGACAGTTTCTTGATCAACAAGCCGGACGAGCGTGGCTTCACGCCTCTCATGTGGGCGGCAGCCTTCGGCGAGGTTGCGGTGGTGAACCTCCTCCTGGAAAAGGTCAGTCTCCCTTGGGGCCCAGCTTGGACAGGCCGGCCCGTCCAGTTTCCTCATTCCAGAAGACCTCACCTGGACATTGGCTCTCCGAGCTCTGCATTATCGAAGGCCTTAGTGGCAATGCCTGTTTGCCAAGGCCTGATTGTGCCTGTGCTTGCAGGGAGCAGATCCCCACCGGCTAGCCCGGGAGAGGGAGAGTGCCCTGTCTCTGGCCAGCTCTGGAGGCTACACCGACATCGTCAACATCCTCCTGAAGAGGGGCGTGGACATCAACACTTACGACTGGGTATGGGGGAGGGCCCAGACAGTACCGCACTGTCCTGGGTGGACGGTGCAGACGATGATACTGTAGCAGGTGATCCGTGCAGAAGGGTCATCTCCCGGAAATAAGAATTTCAAAACCCCTGACAATGCAAGACCAGCAGAGCTCTGCCGTTCACTTTGTATGCTGTGATAAGTCCATGCAGACCAAGCACCCCAAACTACAGGGGCACGTAAAAGATCAGGACAGTATGATGAGATAAAACTGGATCACTTACTAAAGAGAGAACAGATCGGCGTTCTGGATTTGTAATATACATGGTCTGACAGTGCCACAATACAGCTCTCTTGTGCTTTGCACAGATTAAACCACCTCCTTGAGCACAGCACCTAATCCAGGTTTTTTCACCTGCTCTCATTCCTCAGAACGGAGGAACTCCTCTGCTCTATGCAGTTCGAGGGAACCACATAAAGTGTGTCGAAGCTCTCCTGGGTGAGTAGTACAACCAGAGGGGTTAAAGGTAAAGCTAATAAATATCAGTTGCAAATCTCCAATCTTTTATCGGTCTGCCACAGTGGGAGGGTGCTGGATAGGTAGTCAAAAAACAACCATCCTTGGGAATGCAACCAGGAACAATGCAAATATTGTTCAAAGGCATACGGTGTTTTAGAAGTTTGATATGTTGCACAAAACAAGTATTTCTGTGCCGGTCTATTCCAGAGCTAGTCTTGCTTTGACATTTTGAGAAAGTTCATACAGGACACTGATGTTATGGCCCAGACAGGAACAGGGAGAAATCGCTTACCATTTTACTTTTCTTTTTAAAAGACTTGGCAGGAAACATAGTCTATGTTTTGAGGAGCATATATTTTGAAAGCCAGAAATGTACATGCTTCACCCATCAATACAGGGTGACGGACATTAAATTAATCTAGCCCGGACACAAACCACGAGCTAGCCAGGGCTGGCTCCGAAGGGGGTATGTAGTCCTTGTATGGTGTATATTAACAAGGCTCTCTGGCTGGTTCTCTCCTCCAGGTTGGGGTGCAGACCTGACGGTGGAGGCCGATTCGGGGTACAGCCCTATGGATCTGGCTGTTGCTCTTGGACACAAAAAGGGTGAGATCCACCATCAGCATGAAAACACCCCAAATTTCCCCCCTTTTGCCTGCTGACAAAAGCACTCAAGAAAATACACTGCAGAAGAACAGATTAAGGTTTATTCCTTGCTGAAAGGAAAAGGAAAGGCTGCGCTGCTTAAATGTTGTGGCTCCTTTCTTGTCTTACTTCCATGGAATACAGTTTTATCTGTTCCTTTGCAGCCTAGGCATGCTGACACAGCTCCCTGCCCCGACGCCTTTCGAGAAAACACATTGCAGCACCTGGCAGAGAGAGATTCTATCAGATGTGTTTTCCCCTTTCAGTCCAACAGGTGATCGAGGCCCACATTCTGCAGCTGCTGAAGAAGAAAGAGTGAGGGCCAGTCCGGGTCAGACGCTCTCCCATGACGATGCTGAGTCAAGCACTGCTGTCTGCTGGCAGACTGCACCAGGAGGTACCAGCCTAGCGAAGAACTCCAGGGAAGGCACCCGAGCCGAGACATTTCCTTAAGCACCTTATCACTTCCTGGCTGCAAGCAAACCTGGCCTTGAATGACGCATTTTGCTGAAAACATCAAAGATTGCACTATTTTTTTTATTGATTTCGTTTTCTGAAAAACGGCAGCATGTGGGTGGCTGGGGTACACCCTTTCCAATGTGAATCGAAGTCCAGAGCCGTGTTGTTTTGGAGAGTCACACACATTCAGACAAAAAAGCATAGAAGTTTCACACATCCGGGATTTTGAGATCAGCAACACATGAAGTAAAGCTCCAGACTACAGACACAGATTTGCTCGGCAAAAGAGAAAAAAACAAACAAGGAACAGCGCAATGCTCAAATACACAGTATCTTAGGCTAAGGATTGGCAAATGGGATTTTAAAAATGGGGAGTCTGGAAAAATGAGGAGTTGCCAAATTATTTCTGTCCCTATATCAGAAATGAACTGAATATGGTGTTAAAGTTCTTTCCATTAACCAAGAGATTAAAATGTTTGGGGAAAAAAATAACCCCAAACCAGACTGCAGTTTCTCTCCTCGTTTCAAAGCGAGCAATAGCATTCATCATTCTCCACACTGCTCATTGTCTTTAAATGCACCTAGACAATTCTGGCACAAAATACTGAAAAACTCTCTTCATCACTCAATAAAAGAATGTTTATTGAGGAAAAAAAATGACATTTATTTTTTCACCTGCTTTCTTAATTCTTAGATTGAGAGGAAATAAAGGTACAAACAATTTCCACAGATGTGGGTCTATGCATTGTCCAGAACCCATATAAGATAAGATCACTTTATTGGCCCTATACAATTTCTTGCAGTAGGAATTTGTCTTTTCGCAGACCCCAGCTTGCTCTCCATGAGAGACACAGACAGGGAGAGAAGCCTGGGGTCAGAGCGCAGGGTCAGACATTGTACAGCGCCCCTGGAGCTGTTGGGGTGAAGGGCCTTGCTCAGGGGCCCAACGGAGTGGGACTCTTCTAACGGCCGTGGGATTTGAACTGGCAACCTCACAGCCACAGGCGCAGAGCCTAGGCTACAGTGCCATATGTCAGGTAGTCTGCATTAAAAATGATCCATAGGTGCCACAAATTAACCAGAAAGAGAAACATTATCTTTGGTATTAAATGCAGATATATATTAGGCACCCCTTCCA